ATTATTGCAAATGTTGACCACAATTAATTAAGAGATTTTCGTTGAAACCAAGTCAGTACTAATTGATAAAAAAACAAGTATTGCGTACAAGAAGAAGCGGTACTATTGTTGTAACGCCCCACTTTGATTTTAAAGAAATTCCGGACTTTCAGAAAAATCAGATTAATTTTTTTAAAATTTATTTCAAATATATTAATGGTGTTACTCATTTCAACATCAATCATCAATATAACTTCAACTCTCAAAACGGGTTTTCAAAATTCAACATTCACCCAAACCGGGTTCCAACAATAATCATAGTATCTAAGGAGCATCTCCTTAACATTATTCGATCATAAAATCCGAAAACCATAAATGCAATAATATTCCAAGTTCATAAATCATAAAATCGGTTCACGATACGGAAGCAAAACAAATAATAACACCGGTCTCATAGACCGACCACCACACGTTCTACTCCGCCGTCGTGCCTGCCTCGCTTAACCTGAAACGTTAATTTCTGGTCTGCCTTGTATGTGCTTATTAGGGCCTCAGTTCTGCCATGTGAAATGGTTATGTCCGGCATGTTAACAAAAAAATAGAAAGGGCTCTATTGAAGAGTCTGCTTGTGTTGCTTGTGTTGATCAGACAACACAACAAGAGTTCGGTCCATCACATCCTTAAAGTAAGATGTAGCACATCGACTTCTAAAATCAGTGCCCTATCACAAAATATAAAACACAGAGAATGCATTGGATCAACTTGCATCACTGGATCACTTATAGAATACAGAACAAAATGGAAAACAACAACAACATTATAGAATACAGAACAAAATAGAAAATAGCAGCAAAAAAAATAGAAAACGACATCACTGGATCAATTTGTTATGGGAAAGTTGATAACAAATGAAAAACACCAATAAAATCCCAACAACGACTACATTAATACCATTTCGCAAACAACAGTAGTAAAGTCCCAACAGTAACAACAAAATCCCCACAACAACAACATTTAAAACACCAATTCAAATTGAAATTCACAACACCTCAACCTTAATTTTGCAAATAACAACAACAACAACATTAATTTATGAATTTATCACTAAAATCACAAATTTGAAGCCCTAGTTTATCAATAAAATCCCAAATTCGAAGCCCTGATTTGTGAACCCTAAATGCAAAGAGCCATAATTTATCAAAAAAATCCCAAATTCGAAGTGAATTACCATAAAAAAAAATCCCAAATTTTTAAAAACATCCAATTCAAGAAAAAAAAAATCAAAATTTTGTAAAAATCCCCAAATTTTCGAGTTCAATAAAATCCCCAAAAATCAACATTGCTTACGGCTTTGGAAGAAGAAGATGGTTTGTCCGATATCAAGGGCTTCCCGGAGACGGACGACTTTTTTCGACCGCGGCATTTTGGTCGGAGACGGAGGGCTTCCCGGAGATATGGCGACGGGAGGGGGAATCTTCTTCAGCGACGCACGACGCACCAAGACAAAGAGAGAGATGATAGGCGATGCACAAGAGAGAGAGAGAGAGAGAGAGAGAGAGAGAGAGAGAAATGATCGGCGATTTCAGAGAGAGAGACAAGAACAGGCGAGAGAGAGAGAATGCAGAAACAGCTAAAATGAATTCATCAGTAAAATAAATCAATAATAATACAAATAGTATTTATATGGGGAGTTGAGAGGAAAGATAAATTTGTATTAGGGAGTTGAGAGGAAGTTTTAAAGTGGTAGGGACTGATGAGGAATTTAAAATGTGCATTAGGAATTTTTGAGGAAATATCCGTCAAATCATACCATACAAAATATTATTTGTTCTACATATGAAAATTTTATTTTTTATAATATTCAAAATATTAGTAAATTTTTTTATCTCTATTCAATTCTCCAGATATAATTTTTAAAATTAATCATCTTTGATGATCTGCGAATTAACATCCGTATCACATATACAAATTTAAAATTAATTTCATCTATCTTGACAAAAAGAATAAATTATTTTATTTATCAAAACCAAATTTAAAAAAGAAAATAGATGGAACTATATACTATAATATAATATATTTTATTGACTATCCTTTTTCAATATATATAGATACGCGTTGAAAAATTAATATGTTCTAAAAAAAGGCTTAATTGCTAATAAAACCATGACTTTTTCGAAAACTACAAATATATGCATCACTTTTAAACTTGGCAGTCCGCGTAAGCAGTCAAAGCCCGAAATTGGGCCCAGTGCATACAATTGCCAGAAATTGTAAAAGTGGTGTATATATTTGGTGGGAACTTTTATATCTCCCACGTGATGTATAAATATTTACAACTTTACCTTACAAATATAATTAATTATGTTTTTACTTAAAAGAACACATTTAATTACATTAATGCCTAAAAAGAGTTACCATATCCATTACAACTTCAGTCCCTTGAGTTCCATTGCAAAAGCCCATATTTAACTACATTAATGTCTAAAAGGCAGTTACTATATTCATTTCAACCTCAAAAAAAAAAAAAAAAAAAAAAAAAAAAAAAATAGGTTCATTTTTTTATTTTATATTTTTTGTTTTATCTTTGATAATTCATTAAATGGCTTTCAGTTTTTAATGGTATATATACAGTTTTTCTAATGGTATATATATAGTTTATTTTAATCGTTTTTTTTAAATATTGCTCTTTTTGAGAATATATCGAAAATATACTGAGAATATACTAATTATAAACCCTAAATAACCATACAAATAAAACGCATCACCATTAATTGTCATGTATATTCCATTACAAATACAAAAAAAAACATGTATGTAATTCACGTAGGTGTCCAGTGGTATATGTAGCGTTTATGTTAATATATATTCAATATATGTTCAATATATATACATAAAATAAACCGTCAAAAAATGTTGGTGTATGTGTTATAATTTTCAGTGATTATAGTAAATATAATACATAATCATGGTATATATAATGAATATATAAAATACAATGTTGGTATATATACTTACAATACAAATCGTAATGATGGTAGATCTATTGTATATGTTCTCCATGATTTTACTAAATATAAACTATACATATACCGAAGATATACTGAATATAAACCATACATATAACAGCAGAACAATACAAACACAATAATATAACATAGGGAACGATAAAACATCATATTGATCCTTCCTTTTAAACAAAAAAATCTTCTAATATACCAGACATAAACTATGAATATACATTCAAAAGAGAAAAAATAAATAAACATCTATTCCCAAACTAATTTGTTTATAACTAATAAACCAAACATAAACTAAGATGTACAATAACTATCCCTAAGACGTACATATACTGTACATATACTTCTTTTTTTCCCAGCTATATACAATCCTCCGCTGCCACTGCGAGCTAAAACACAAAAGTCCAAAGCTAGCATTTTTTAGCACACACTTCTTCAAAGAACAAATCTCTTATGAAAATATTGAACTTATACAACCAGATCTCCAACTAATTGTCAAAAACAAGTACCGATAATGAGAAGCAAATCAAAAGATAATATCAAGGAGACAACAGAAGAAATAAAAAAATTACTGGAGGCACTCACCATTGTTGGCAAACCAGACGGTAGGATTATGGTCCTTGGCGAGAAATCAATGAGACGTGACTCCTTGATATTAGGGATTAGTTATCACAATTAATCCATAACTGATCCAATTCCCATATTTAAATCGTAATCAATAAACTTATAAAGTTAGGTATATGTGTAAATATGTTGGGGTGATTTTGTATCTTTGTAAATAAATATTAATTGGAGATAAATATGTAATATAAAAAATATTTGATGGTATACGGTATAAATTTCTCTATATTTGTTAAGTTTAAAAGTGATACATATAATTGCAATTTTCGAAAAGGTCATGATTTTATTAGCAATTAAGCCTAAAATATATGATAATACAATAAATAATATATTACCTTATAAAAAATAGTAAAATAAATAAAATAAATACAATTTTATTTTTATACTTTATTATCTTAGATTATATTATTCTTATTTAATTTTAACTTGTGCACTCTAATTTAATTTATTTTTTAATTATTGCTGACGTGGCTGACATGGCATTTTTTTTGCTGATGTAGAGGCTGACGTGGCGGCAAAAAAAAAATAAAAACATAGTTTGTGACCTCTAAGTTGAATTATGAAACTATAATTACAACACCAACCCAAGTTCTATGTCAAATTTAACAACAGTTTACATATGGACACTAACTATTGATAATTATAATTAAATTTTAAAGAACATGTAAATTAATTAATAAGATATAAATTATAATTATTAAAATATAATAAAATAAATTATATAATATTAAATGAAAAATAAATTAAAATAAAGATAAGAGAGATTATTATAGTATAGTGCATTTAAAATAAAATAAATTAAGATAAATTATTATATTTATTAATTCTAAAAATAAAATTAATTATATATATTTGGAAATAAAAAATAATAATGATAAAATTAAATTTAAAAATAAATTAAATTAAAGTGCACCAGTTAAAATTAAATAAGAATAATATAATATAAGATAATAAAGTATAAATATAAAATCATATTTATTTTATTTATTTTACCATTTTTTATAAGATAATATATTATTTATTGTATTATCATATATTTTAGACTTAATTGCTAATAAAACCATGACCTTTCCAAAAATTACAATTATATGCATCACTTTTAAAGTTGGCAGTCCGCGTCAAAAGTCAAAGCCCGAAACTGGGCCCGGTGCATACAATTGCCAAAAATTGTAAAAGTGGTGTATATATTTGTCAAGTTTAAAAGTAGTGCATATAATTGCAATTTTCGAAAAGGTCATGGTTTTATTAGCAATTAAGCCTAAAAAAATCATCTCTGACCACCAATGTGCCTTAATAACATCAAGTTTTCATTCGTACGACTACATATCCATGTCCGGCCCTCTTTCGCTCCTATTAACTTATGATGAAACAACCAACTCGTGCTTAGGCGAGCTTGTTGCATATATGACCATAATGTGCTACATTCGCAGCTCCGCAATTGTAACAAAAATTGTATCCACACCTACAACAAATATATCGATTGAATGAAGATGGGCAAGATTAGCCTGGAGTTGAAAATAAGTTTTATCAAGCAAAACAGTTAAAGTAACTGAAGCATATAGACACTTGAAAAGCAAACAATATGTAGATGTAAAGTAAAAACAAGAGATTACAGACTCTTGTTTGTTACCCTATAACACGTAACTACATATGCTAAATTGTTAGAATCCCATTATCCGGCGATTGTTTTAAGGTTCAGACTCTAACGCCCATTCTTATATTTCTCTATATTGCCCTAGCAATCTTAGCTCCGGTCGCAATTATGGTCGTTGAGCCAAATCCCTAACATATGAAAGCAAAATCCAACGTATACACCAACAAGGCACACGAGTGAGCGCACAAACGTACAAGGTTTAATTCTAATAATCAGAAATGAAAATATTTCGTACACACATATAAAGTCTACCTATCATCAATGACAGAAAATTTACATCACAATAGATTAATGTTGCCAAAAAGAATTTACAAAAAGTGTAGACAATCATGACATTAGCGCGCATTTGAACATTGAACATACACAACAAATGCTGAAAATCAATAAGCAAAACTAGAAAAGAAGTTCGAGAACAAAAACAAACCTGCATGTAATGAAAAAGCAACCGGTAATCTTCTCGACGTAAATACTGCACTGTGGACACCTCATCCACTTCTTGTTCTTAGCAAGACTCATCAGCATTATATCCTCACGAGTCCTCTCCCCCTTCTTCAGCCCCTCGAACTCTTTGCATGTTACACCCGAGTGCCAAGGCACCCGACATTTAGCGCAAAATAGCCGGTTACAATTAGGGCACTCAGATTCCGCTATCACTTCGTTTTTGCCCTTCCTCTCGTCAACTAACAGGGCCGAGCAATCCTTGAACGGGCAATAGAATTTCTCAGTAGCCAAGATCACGGCTTCACACAATGCGTCCCCCCACCGGTTGAAAACCTGCTCAGGCAGTATCGACCGGCAGTGCTGAGGCTCGAGCGAGCCTTTGCACCCGGAAACAGGGCATTTAATGGAAACAACGTTGTCCTGCAGCTTTGCGCCCACGTAATTTCTCACGCAGTCGGCACAGTAAGAGTGATGGCAGCCCAAAATGGGGAAACTTTCTTCCTTAGGTTTTTCGTCGGCACAGATTTCGCACATGAACGTCGATCGGGGAACCGGCTTGGTATCACCCTCTGGCTCTGGATACGAGCACTCGCCTTTGAGGAAAACCTTTTTTCGGGATTTGGGAAAAATATGAAGAACTTTAACCTCGTCGTCGTCGGAATAAGGGTTTCGGGATAAACCGATCGTTCTCCGTTTGAGTTTTGGGCGGTAATCTTCGACTGATATGGCATCGAACTTGGTGGCGCCATTGTTTGCGGGTAGTGGCGTCGCGTAAATCACCGAGATTTCGTCGTCGTCGGCGGCGGCGACGGGGGCGGCGGCACCGCCCGGGAGTTTGATGATCTCCGAAGATTTCGGCGCCATTTGAAAGGTCTCGACGGCTGATCCGCCTCTTGATTCACTTTAGGAAGGTGATGGGGCACTATTTTATACGGAGTTTCCATTTTGAAAGGGCTTTTGGTTTTGAATTTTGGGGATTGGGATGCGTATCTGCAATTATCCATTGCCGAGTTTTAGGGCTTTGGGGAGGTTTATGGAAGTTAGCGGGGTTTGCATTAATTGATTGGAAATTTAATGGAATGTTTTAAATATGGTTATTTGGGTAACTTCTCCTAAAATTTCTATTTCCTTTTTCATTTTCTTCTTCAATCCCATGCCTTTAATTTTTTTTTTTTTTTTTTTTTTTCCAAACGATAGATAATCTCATACCAAAAATAAACGTCTTACAAACAAAAGGCTGACTAGCCTTAACAACAAATACAAGGAGAACCACACCAGCGGTGGCCTAAAAAACAAGCTCATACCAAAGGCAAATACAAGAATTTGTGCCCTTTGGACAGCAAAACACCAAACCCAAAATAAAAAAACAACTGAAACCGAAAAAACCCAAAGTAAACTAAACACCAAAGAAACAAGCTAAGGAACAAAAGCAACAAGAGATATAGCTAGAACCACTAAACATAAGAACCTAGCCCTAGCCATAAATCTCCTCCATTACCACCCCCTCACCCCCCCCAAAGCCACAAACTCATTCCATTCTCTCACAGTCTCTTTCACAATTATCTGCTCCGAGAGCTAAGTCTTCTTAAATACCCAAAGGTTCCGTGCCTTCCAAAGCCACCATAAAATATAAGCAGACAGCTGAATGCGGGCTTCAGACACAGCAGACTTTTTCAAGTCAGTGATCCACCACCACCACTTCTGAAATCCATATTGCCAGATTGAGAAAATTCCCAAGAAACCGGGGCCATCTTCCAGACAATTTCAGCACGAGAACACTCAAAGAATAGATGCCATGATGTCTCAGCCACATTCCCACAGACAGGGCAAATCCAGTCCACAACAGCACCCCTGTGGCATAAATTGGTACATGTAGGCAAAGGAATAGTAATACCTTTCCACAGGAAATGTCTCAACTTCATTTTCACCCTTAGCTTCCAACATCTGAGCCTGGCTTCTTTATCTTTGCTCCCAGCACTACTGCTTTGAGGACAATCCAATCCCAGAACTTTCTTCACCATGGCTTTTGCATAGGCAGAGGAAACAGAAAACATGCCCTTAGGATCTCCAGACCAATTCCATCTATCTCTCTTTGCAGGGTCCATACTTTTGATCTTCAGAATAGCTTCAGCAGAATGAGATGTAAAAAATCCTCCTAATGACATTTGCATCCCAACTTCTGCCTCCATCCACTAATAAGTCAGCAACTTTCAGAGATTCTGATATTTGAGCATCTGCAGCTACTAAAGGAATGTCATTAGCTAAGGAAGGAACCCAAGGATCAGACAGTACCTTGGTAGTGAGCCCATCCTTGATCTCCTTCACAAAACATTGCCTGTGAATTTTCTTAATTTTCTTCCTCATAACTCCCTAACGTTAAAATTAATTGAAAAATAAAATGATTTATTACATCATCCCACTAACATATTATTTTATTTATTTTCTCTTCCACCAACCATTACACATATAAGTATTTTATTCATTTTTGTTCAATCTTCTTCCACACCCTATCTACCTCCCTCCCGTCTCTCTCCCATCTCCCTCCATTTCCGACGACTGCTTCTGTTTTTTTTTTTTTTTTTTTTNNNNTTTTTTTTGCAGGTCGGTCTCTCCGACGACCCAAATCCGGCGAGAATAACTCCGACAACAACAAATCCGGCCAAACAAGTGATTCCGACGTCAAATTTGTGCGGCCAAAAATTCATTTTTCGGCAACATTCGTGTTTTTTCCAGCCAAAATTTGAAGTAGCAAATAATATATGTATTATATAAGCATTTTGGAGTCAAGAAAATCATGTTTAATTCGTATATATTTGGTTAATTTATTAGGGATTGAATTTTGAAAATTGTTGTTCATGTTAACCCTAAATCAATGAAATTGATCAAAATACCTTATTTCTTGTTTATGTATACGAAATTGTTAAGTTATGTAATGTGTTATTCACGCTAAAACAACAAAATAAAGTGGGAATGATCACTGTACAACCATTCTTGATTATTGTACCTATGTTTGCATGTATATAGTACCACTTCAATACTGTTTTGTACCATATTTTCCTGGGAAATGAGAAGTTCTTTTTTATTTATCCAAATACTGTTAGATACATGGAAGGGGCACAAAGTGATATACTAGAGAGTTGTACGTACAATAAATCAATTAAAATTGATGAAAAAAAATTTGTTGTTCATGTATACGAAATTGATACTATTGTTAGGTTATGTAATGTGTTTTTCACCCTCAAACAAGAAAATAATGTGGGAATGATCATTGTACCACTATTTTGTATTATTGTACCTCTGTTTGTTTGTATATAGTACCACATTAATACTGTTTAGTACCACATTTTCTGGGAATGTGAAGTTTTATTTTTTTATTTACCCAATTAATGTTGATACATGGAAGGGGCACAAAGTGATCTACTAGGGAGTTGTACGTACAAGAATGAATTGTTTGTGTTCTCTATGCACATTGGATTAACGCTTGACGAAGTGTACACTCTCATATCTAAGAGGTGGCCGAACGTTAATTTCGAATCCGTCGTGCTTTGCTATATTGTGCCAAAGGAAAAAAAAGAGAGTTAGTTTGTTGGATGATGAGGATGTGAAGAACATGATCGGTTACATGTTATTTAGAAAGTCAATATTGTAGAGATGCTTGCCCTTGAAAGAAACGAAAGACCAGACGATGGAGTTCAATCATTCCCGATGAACATGAGCAGGTAATGTTGCTTTCATAATATTAATCAATTTATTATTGAAATATGGTATAGTCATATCATATCCTATTTCATTAATTTTTGAACTAGTTCCATAATTTATAAATCTTTGTATTATTTTATAGGGAAATCGTACCGTATGATGATTTATCGGATGGAGAACATAAGCTGTTGCAAGATAAATTGATTGATTCTTCGAGATCTTGCATCAAAGGAGGGGAACAAATATTTAGTGGAGCCAACGAATTTCGTAAGAGCGTTAAAAACTACGCGATTGCAGATAAGCGGTCCTTTAAGTATCGAAAAAATGACAAGCAGAAGATCATCGTTTGTTGTAGCGATACGGGTTGTGAATATAGAATATATGCATCATTACACAAAGGTAATCAATTGTTTGCCATCCGCAAATGCAATCTAGTCCATACTTGTGGAGTGTTCAATCTTCGGACAAGGGGGCATCCGAAAGCAGACTCCATGTGGGTCTCAAGTACAATCAAAGACAAATTGAGAGATGAACCGAGTTACAAGCCTGCCACGATATTGAAGATATTCACAGGGAGTATGGCTTGGAGTTTCCTTACAAAAAGGCATGGTTAGGGAAAGAACTTGCCATGCAAGATATTCATGGCGCAGACAGGGGATCTTACGTTCGATTGAGATGGTATTGTAGTGCAGTGCGGGAGACGAACCCCAGAAGCATTGCCGACTGTGAGATTGGCCCTGTGGAGAATAAGTTCCGCCGATTGTTCATTTGCTTCCATGTCTTCCTTGTCGGTTTTTTAACCGGTTGTCGACCGTTGATATTTTTGGATGGCACTCACATAAAAAATAAATACAAAGGCATTTTGCTTAGTGTTGTGAGTAAGGATGACAATGATGATTTGTTCACTATAGCATATTTCGTTGTTGATGCCGAGACCGATGAAAATTGGGAGTGGTTTTGCTTGAAACTCAACAGTACTTTTATTTCCTCGCGTATACCTGTTTCTAGAAGCTTCACATTTTTTACGGACCGACACAGTGGGCTACTTAAAGCCATTCCTATGGTTTTTCCTGGAAGCCATCATGCTTACTGTCTGAGACACTTAGTCGACAACTTTAAGAAGCAGGTAAGAAACTTAGATTTTTATTTAATTTAAGTTGAAGCCATGCTGATGGTTTCTGTTGTGGTATGGTTATATAAATTAAATGAAGTTGAAGCCATCCTGAAGGTTTTCTATTGTGGTATGGTTATGTAAATTAAATTTAAGTTGAAGCTATCGTTCTTTTAATGTAAGTTGAAGCCATCCTGATGGTAGCCATCACATTTGTTTTTTTTTTTTTTTTTT